GAACAGAATAGCCGGCGGCCAGAATAGGTTGAGAAGAGAGTTTGAGAGGATTAGGAGAGATTAGGGTTGACAGTGATACTTTGATAATTCTTTCTTGATTGCCTCTTAAACGAATAACAAAGTATACTTATTTAGGAAAAGAGCTGAAAACCTAACAATAATCCTAAACTTAACCACCAAGTAATAATTTATTCTAATAATTATCTCTAATATGAATATGGTAATTATAATAGAAACCCGTGGAAGGTAGGTTTCTATCATCTCGTCCCCCTTGAGACCAACCTTGCCCTCAAGGTTGACCAACTTGTCCCACTTCTCCACCCTTCTCGTTCCAACCAAGTGTCGTCGCCTCCACTTTTTACGCTTCCTCTTCTTCCAATTTCCATCAACTATCCGGACTCGGCGCATAGCACAAGTAGCTCCTCCCTTTACTGAAATCTCTTTCAAGTCGTAACTATCAACATCAAAATAATGAGCAGCGTGTTCCAAGTCTTTCCTTGTGAACTCCACAAAGTAAAGACCCGCGAAATGGTCCCGATCATTAACTACGAATCCTAAATCCTCCACTGAACGCTTCTTAGCCACTGTGGTTACCTCCGCCGCACTTGTTGTGCTAAAGATGAGCCCGAGCTTCCATTCAATGCTTCTTCCTACACCTTGTTCTTCACGCCATGAAGGATACAACCGCCATTCCACTCCATGCATACAACCTCTTCCATCCACCCATTTTTTCATTTTGTACTGTTGGTCACCAAGAGAGAGCTCCCAGGAAGGAACTCCTCCTCCCTCTTGAGAGGGAACGTGAGATTCCCATCAAACAAATGCCCATGCTTATTAACTCTACACCATGCTGCCTTCATGTCCGCATAATTCTGATCCCAACTGGCATCGTCACTTTGATGCTTCTGAGTTGCGGCCACAATTTGGCTTCCCTTCAGCCTACATCCCAGTCCACCTGTGGATAGGGCTGGAAGTTTGGTACTGGTATTTGGGATATACCGAATACCGTACCGAATTTGTCTATATTTGGTATTACCGAATACACGTATTATTTCTTGGGATTGGGATTGGGATTGAAGTTCAATTGTTATTCGGTATTAGAGATTACGGGATTGGGATCGGTATATACAAAAATACCGATCAATACCGAAATATAAGCTAGTGTGTATTTTATCCTATCAACTAGACTCTCTCATTCACTACTGCATGACCCTCGACCACCAAGAGTGTCATTTAATTATACACTGATCATTTCATCACTGTTAATACTCATTAATAGTCGTCTCTCAACCTCCAATTCGTCAAATTAAAGATTACCAATGACAAGAACTTGAGATGTCTCTCCTCCTCCATTCTCCTTAATAATATCCTAATTCAACACTCTTTCCTTGGTCCTTTTCTCCTAAATTAAACAATAAAATCTAATTTATATATTTAATTATTAATTACAAATGTAATTAATTTCGTATTCGATAATACCGATTGGGATACCGAAGTACCGATTGGGATACCGAAATATTTTGGGATTGGGATACCGAAATTATTTAGGGATTGGGATTGTGATTGACTTTAGGGTGTAGTTCGGTATCGGGATTTCGGTATTTGGTATTGGGATACCGATACCATACCGATTTCCACCCCTACCTGTGGACCCTTCCGTACTCAGCTGCGGCCAAAGGCCCACCCCACCACATCATGTCTCTTTCCATCCTTCAGCTCTCGTGACCCAACAAACTTGGCCCAATTCGACGGCCTGTTGTCGCTCGTCTGCCGCCCAACCCCAAGCTGTCGGGCGAGGGTTTGCGAGAAGGAAGAACTCGCCGCCCCCTTCCTTCTTCTCAATCGCCGGCTGCTCCTTCTCCAGCAACGAGCGACGGACCCGACGGGCAAAAGCCAATGGCGGCACAGCTGCGCGCGTCTCTGGGTCCGCTCTTCCATTCCTCTTCGTCGACGGGCAGTTCAACCGGCAGCTTGTCACCGTCCGGATCTTCCTCGACGGTCGTCTCTCCTTCGACTTCTCCCTCCGCCGCTCCGAAAATGGCTCTACCGCCAAGCCCTCCTTCCCTATCTTCTTCTTCCACGGCGGCACAACGGGACTCACCGCCAATTGCCGCGTTCCGCGCTCAATTCGATGGGACTCACTGTCGATTTCGGCTCCGGCCTCCAGTCGTTGGTCGCCGTCGGCGTGGCGCTCTGCCAGCCTCACACGATTTTCTGTGCTCCTTTACGACCGAGACTCGGTCGTGCGGTTAAATGGCGATGAGCTCGGGACGCGGTGGCTTCCCCGTAGTCAGCCGGCTCCGACGGTGACTGCTCCCGCTCCGTCTGTTTCGCACAGCCAGAGCCATCTCTGGGCTCTTGTATCTTCTTCCTGAACTTCCAAGAAACAACCGATTGGATTGTGAACATTGATTGTTCCATCCAGTCTCCCAAATCCATTTTCGCTCGCACCAGTTCCAGTGAACCTCTGTTACCAGAGGATTCGAGGTAGCTTTTCTCCTCACCTTTGCCGAATTGATTGGCAACGCCGCGACTACGACTGCGGCCTTTGACAATGATGGTGGGGTGATAACAGCAATGGCGGTTTCGAGCATCAGCAATGGCTCTTCTTTTCTCGGTGGTTTGCGGCTGTTTGATGTTCTCGCCATCGGCGTCGGGTAGAGGAACAGGTAGTGATGATGGTGCCGGTGGTGTCGCAGTCACGGAAGGCTTTGTTGCAGCCGCCTGAAACTACGATAGTTCGTTGGAGATCTCCATCGCCCGGTTGTCTTTGTCGAGGAGTGCTAGTGGATCCACGACACCAAGGAACATCACCTCCTCGAAAATTACGGCGAGCGAGACTATCTCCTTGGATTGCAGGACTGCGGCAGTCGATGGTTAAGCCGTCCCATTGTCCTTTGTCACCTCTTCCAACTTCGACTTTAAAACCCTGGTAAGTTCTCTAAGTGAGAGCTCTTCAAATTTTGACATGGATTCAGTACGAGTGCTCGCAACCAGAGTCGAGGTTTTCGTCGATGCTTCTTTGTCGTCCGCATCCGCAACCGTCTCAGCTTCCGTCGCTGCACCCTTCGCCCTCTCCCCCTTTTCTCGTTCGTACCAGTCAAGAATTGCTGCAATCGTTGGCTGAGACGGACCCATTCTGGATCGAAGAACTTTGATGAGCTCATTCTGCCTCTGATACCAGATGATAGAAACCTAAAATTAGGTTCTATCGAGTTTTAGGGATTTGGGCAAGAAACGAATCACCAAGGTGGTGATTACGTTGCGTATGGAAGATGGGGTGGGGAAAGTGGAATTGGAAATTGAAGGGAAAGGGAGAAGAAGGCTGTTGTCGCAGTAGTAGAGAGGGGAAGGGGTTGGGGTCAGCCGAGAGAGAGAGGAAAGAAGAGGGATTAGAGAGTGCTTAGGGTTTTAATCTTGCTTAGTGGTTAATTCACACGTACAAGTAGTTTATATAAAAATAGAAAATTTCCTACTGCTATCCGAATTATTAAATAACTCCCAATTTGCCAAATAATTCTCAAAGGACAACAAACCGACAAAAGTAATCCGAATAAACAAACTATGAAAATGCGGGTTTCTATCATCCCCGCCTCCTTGGAAACAACCTTGACCTCATGGTTGACTTGAGCTCACTGCTTCTCTTCCAAGGCCTCCATCGCCTCGTCCTCCGCTTCATCCTCCCATCGTCCCACCAGCATCATCACATCTGGCCTTGCACACTGGTGACCGACGGTGAACCGCTCATTGCAGTTGAAACACTTGCCCTCCCGGCGCTTCTGTTCAATCTCAGCGGGTGTCAGCCTGACGAAGCCCTTCGGTGGAGGGCGAGGACCCGGTCTTGGCCCTGTCGCCGCCGGTGGTGGTGGCAAATCCCCTCCTGCAGCTCCGGTTCTAGCTCCTGCGGCTGTGCTACCTCCCCCACTTCCCGCGGTGTTGCTGCTTTCCCCTCCGCTTGGCCTCTGGTAACGGCCGATGACGCTTCTCCAGTTGGCAAGTTCTTCCTCCTTGTGACCTGCATAACGGAAAGCAGTTCTTACCGAGTCGGGTTCAAACACCCAGACAGCTGCCGCGATCTCCGGCTTTAGGCCAGCCAGACATAGGCCCACCAGTGTTTCTTCCGGAACCCCTTTGCACTGATTCCCCAGCTTGAGAAATTCCGACCGATACTCCGTCACTCTTCCGGTCTGTCTTAGCTAGCTACTCGGGGGCCCATCCCTCTGATTTGCCGAACTGATAACGAAGTTCCTCCTGGAACATCGGCCACGTGATCGTAGCAGCGTACGACCTCTCCAACCATTCCCACTAGTGCAGCGTGTCACCTTCCAGGTAGAAGGACGCCAGGTGCGCCTTCCGCTCCTTCCGAGTCGGGTGGTTCTTAAACCACCTATCAGCTGCATACAACCACAACCCTGCATCCTCTTGCCCATTGAATTTCGGAAATTCAACAGTTCACATTTAGTCACTCTCCCGTTAGTTTCCGTCCAACTTCATTAATGAAGTTGGACGGAAACTAACAGGAGAATGACTAAATATGACATGTTTCAGTATTTCGAGTGACCGGAGTTAGAAGGAGGTTAACGAGAGAGTGACTAAATGTGACATGTTTAGGTAATTCGAGTGACAAAATTTATATTAATTTTTTTTTAATGAAGTTGGGCGGAAACTGACAGGAGAATGACTAAATATGACATGTTTCAATATTTCGAGTGACCGGAGTTAGAAGGAGGTTAACGAGAGAGTGACTAAATGTGACATGTTTAAGTAATTCGAGTGACAAAATTTATATTAAACTTTTTTAATGACTAAACATGACACAATTTATTAATTTCAGTGACCAAATATGGCATTTAAAAAAAACAGCAATGGCTATCAACGGATCATTGCTACCCACAATGGAAGAAGAAGAAGAATATTCCCCCGAAACCAGTTCTCAGTCCAAAGCTAAGCTTTAGTCAAAGTAAAACAGAGCATAACTAGAGTCACCCATAACTTAAGGGGTCATTTGGAAGTTGCGATTGTTTTGTTGAGATTGTCATTATGCATGTATTGTTTACAATGCATCGTTTTTTTGTTTTTTTAGCAGAAACAATACATGGATTGCTTCTATGATGTGACATAAACTATCACTCATTTTGAGTGATTGTTATATCTCAACTTTTAGTTGTGATTGTTGAGATAGTTGAGTTGAGATTGTTTTGTCTCAGCTTTTAGCTGATGCGACATACACAATCACACATACCAAACGTTGTATTCTACAATGCATCAAATTCGACAATACATGTATAATATTATACATGCATTCTCAACAATACATCTATTTAACAATCGCAACTTCCAAACGACCCCTAAAGCTACTTACAAACACATCCATCGACTTAAACACCCGCACATCAGTTAACCTAGAGACTGGTCAGTAATCAGTTCATACCTAGACTATTGAAAGCACAGATCTTCCAACACTTCAAACTACTAAGTTAAACCCTTGTAGGAATCCTTCTTTCCTTCAAGCCAAAGAAGCCTAAACCTTGCACCTGTACATAATCAAAATGACAAAACAAAAGGGTATATTCCTAGTCAAGATTAATGGCTGGGAACATCGAAAACGCGAAGGTAAGAACAACGGATGGTCACCTGCTGACTTGTAGTGCCTGAAGATTGGGGCTGGTGGTGGTGGTGGGGAGGGGGTTTCTCCCTGAAATTGGTGGTCTCTACCATCTTCCCCATAAAATTACAATAAACCTCTGCTTGGTACACCTTGATTTCCCTGGTTGGCCAAGTCTCGGCGGAGAACGTGATGTAGTAGTTGTACCCATTTACCAAATGCGAGCTAGCCTTCTCAATCTTAACCAATTTCAGCTGTTCAAGGCATCGGCATTCATTTACTTTCTACAAAACAAGAACCATAGCTCTGAAATGGGAGCCCGGGGCAGGGGAAAGAGCTTGACACACACACCTTATTCCCCATTTTGTACTGTTCATGGATCACAAACTTGGCAGATTTCTTCACATTCCTCACATGATACGCTTCTTCTTCAGGGTCCTCAAGGTCGATGTGACGAAACCCATGGTCAGGGAATCGACACTCGGCACCCTGGGAAAAACAATTTGAACAAACACAGCCAATCGCTCAATGAAGAATGAACCAGAGAACCCTATATGGTAATAATGCTCTGTCAACTCGCATTCGATAATGGTACTCAGCCAACCAAGAGACAAACCATTCAACCAAAACAAATGAAGCAGAGAACACTATACGAGCAGTAGCGATCTCACCTCAGTGTCGAGCACTGACACGTAGAAATCGAAACACGAAGCAAAATCATAGCCATCGTCGCTGCTGCTGCTATCGTCACTGTCATCTTCTTCTGCTTCTTCAATCTTGACGTCCTCAGGGTGGTCGCATTCCTCGACCTTCTGCCTCTTCGAATCGGACCCAAGCTGCGATTCGTCGGGCATGCGAGGGAGGGAAGCTGTATCCATCGCTCTATGAATGAGCGAAAGAATGGCGAGCGAGAAGCAGAAATCAATTCACAATTACCGCGGAAGAAGAAAAAAAATTGAGCAGAGAAGAAACCCTAGGTCCGCCAAAATTGGTGGGGGGAGTACTTCAGTTTGCGATGCTTCATATAATTAATAATATATGATAAAGTTCAAGAACGGTCATCAATCTTTTTTATATTATCATTTCAGGACATCAACCAAAAAATTTATTCTTCTCACTAAGTAATAAAAGAGTGGAACAAAATTGAGATGCCCACCATGAACGAACTATGAAAATATATCATAACTAGGGGTGATAGTCGGTTCGGTTGCGGTTAAACCGAACCGATTTTTCGGTTAATCGGTTACCGAAAAGTGCCCAAATGACCAACCGCAACCGCACCGATTATTCTGATCGGTTAACCGCAACCGCAACCGCAGACAGTCGGTTCGGTTGAACGAGTAACCGAGAGACCGCAATATCAAGCCTTAAACAAAAGGGAAGGGGGAATTAATATTGAATTGTACCAAATTTGCACCCCTCTCTCTTCCGTCTTCTCTGTTCCCCATCTCTCACTCTGCTACCTAAAATCCCCTCTCTTTTCTTCTTCTCAATCTTCTTTTTCTCTACAAATCAAATGAAAAAACTTTCAATCTTTTATCTTTTGCTTCTTCTCTGCCTACTCGGAAGCTTCTTCATGGTGTCCACCGATCGAGTATGAAGGCTGGGCGGCGATGCGGCGGAAACAGGCAAAGGAAGGAACAACCAAACGACGAACGATGCAAAGAGAGGATGAGTAAGGCGGGAGGATGATCGACTAGAAGCCTACCCGGATTTAATCTCCGATTCTTTTGCCGTCGTTGATTCAATCTTCCATCTGGGGATTTGGGGGTTAGGCTTCGTTACATGTATGGAGGGATTTGGGGATTTGGGGGTTAGGGTTCGTTGCATGTCTGGAGGGATTTGGGGATTTGGGGGTTAGGGTTCGTTGCATGTCTGGAGGGATTTGGATATATTTGTATGCATAGAGGGTTTTGGATGAGAGTTGTGATTTTGGTGGTGGTGCGTGTCTGGTTGGGGCGTCGAGGTCGAGATTAGGGAGATTGGGACGACGAGGTCGAGCTTGGAAGGAGGAGGTGGGACGGTGAAGTCTGGTTGAGGTTGAGAAGCATCTGGATGGGGGCTATGCCTGTGGCGACGAGGTTCTCCGCGGTTATTTACGGTTGACCGAGTTATTGTCGGTTAATCACCGTCGGTGTCCGGTTATCAAATTCGCCTGAAATCCCCAACCGACGCCGACACCGCCAGCAGTTTTCGGTTGTCGGTTTCGGTGAATAACCGCCGGTTTCGGTTCGGTGGTCGGTCAAACCGGATAACCGCCAACCGATTATCACCCCTAATCATAACCAAATCGAAACTAACTATTATTCACTTCATCATAACAAACAAACTTCTATCCAAAAACAACAAGATCACGAGTTATCGCGTGTAAACTGAATAATCATAACTCCTCTCTCTGAAATTAAAATCTAGTTAGATAGACTAAACTTGGACCGGTTATTTGGTCCAGACTGTTTGGTTTTACCCAAAATCGGGCCGTATAACCCGGATCGAGACCGGACTAGGACCGAATAGCAAATAATAAATCTCATATTCGGGCTTAGATTTGAGGTAAAAAAAAAAATCGGATAAAGAACGGATAAGAGACCCCCAACACCTAAAATCAAGATCAAATGGGGACCGGACCGGATCAAGACCGGACTGTATCCAATTCAATTTTTGGTCCTTATATTCCCGAAAAGACCGGACTGGGACCAGATCAATTTGGTCCAATTTAACAGGACCAGACCGTATAGTCACCCCTAGACTAAACTAGCATAGAATTTGCAACAATAACAACAAAAATACAAATATTGCAGGTACCAAATGTGTAATTAAACCAGCTGTTTCCTTAATTATGACGGTGTGACGTTTTATCCGCCGACTTACTAATCTCCTCCCTCTATATATAAACAACACGGGAGCGTCAAATTACATTTTTTAAAAACCAGACAGCAATGGCTATCAACGGATCATTACTACCCACAATGGAAGAAGAATATTCCCCCGCCGCCAAGATCACGGACTCCGACATCCAGGCGGCGGAGCAGTTAATGGAACTCAGCAATAGCACGGCCAATAGCGACGGCGGGACTACTTTTGTCCTCCCCGGTGACGAGAGTTCCTCCGCCGGCAGCGTCAACATCCCGGGGAACGTTAACAAGAGGAATAATACGACGGAGGAAAGGGTGGCCACGGCGGAGGAGGAGATGGTCAGCCGGCGGCGGAAGAAGACGAGGAAGTGGCGGTCGTTGGAGAGCATTTACAGCGCCACCGTCCCGATTAATTAACTATTTATTTAATTATTATTACATTTTGTATCTCGATAGCTTCTCCAGCTTAATATTAGTTTTTGTTTTAATCTTCTGTTTGTACAGTAAACTTTGTGTATAAACGTTTTTTTGACATGATATCGAACTTTTTTTTATGATAGGTAAATTTTGTGTTTGAATCTTGACGATTTTATATGTTAAGAGTATGATATTTGCATCTATAAATTTTTGTAATTTCATGTCTGTATCTCCCAATCAAGGATCGTAAAATCATATTGGAGGTTTATTAGAATAGTTTGAAGCAGAGCATTTTATATTGAAATCGTGATTTAATCGTAATTCAACCATCTTGTACTATCTAAAAACAACTCGAATTATTTAAATCAACTAGTTCTTGACAAACTGATTTGATCTTCTGCTTCCACGTAGGCTTGATTATATTGATGAAAAAATGTATAATATAATATATATTACGTTGAGGGGTTTAAGTACGGGTTACGGAAGTATTATTGCTTAAACCTCACGGCAAGACCACGAGTAGAAAACGTGTGCCCTCCACTGTTGGGCCTCGTGTTCTCCAAGCCGTTGTAGTCCGCGAAGGATCCAGATTCAAGCTGAGTCCTTGAGAACATCCTATCTAGTGTGGCTGCAAATAAGCTAAACTGTGTTCACGAGGGATTCGGCGTTCGGATCGACAAAAATTCATTTGATATTCGGCTCGTTGATTAATTAATCGAGATTGAGCTAAATCTTGTTCGACTTGTAAGGTTCGTGAGTCGACTCTTCTCGGTGGCTTCTTATATGCAACTTGTGAGCTATCTTGTTTTGAACTATGAGTTGGTTCGGCGGTATGGCTAGTAGCAACTTATAAGTGAATCGATTAATAATTTATTATTGGCTTGTTGATAATTCATAAGTTTGTTAGATTATATATCTCACCACATATGATGTTTAAGAATTTGAGCACGTTGTCGAATATGTCTCATTTGTAATTTAAAAGATAAACAACACAAAGGTCAACTCGTTTACTAAACCCTGTTCACTTTCATTTTCGTTTCCTGTTTTCTGTTTTCATGCCATAAATTTTGCAACCGAAACGGGAAAACTTGTTTACTTTTCATTCTGTTTTCTATTCGTTTCCAACTATGAAAACAGAAAGTGGCAACTTCCTGCTATTTTCGGAAACGACAAAATGTTGTTTCCACCTGTTTTCAACATCTGTTTTCTCGAAAACAGGAAACAGAAATGAAAGTAAACAGGCAGCAGTTCAACCTATGTCAAAACTTGGATCGACTTGGCTCACTTGACCCTGAACTGTGTAGTCTGTAATCATAATGTGATGATTGGGCGCCTCATTTTCTCAAGAACAAAATCGTATGTTCAGTACGCAAGAGAGAGGGGCAAAATCAGCATGCACTCGCCATAGTTGCTTGAACAACAAGTTTCCCCTGTTCTTGAAAGAATTAATGATATACCAACTGCTCTATCTATTATTCCTAATGAAAATTTCCACAAAAATGGTAAGGAAGATGAAAAATGGGAAGATAAAGATGTACAAGTTTCCTGTCTACTGCCTTGTTCTAAAAGAAAGAAAAAACCAGAGGCAAAATCTGCAAGCACCACTGTAGCCCCAAAAAAAAAACCCAGTACTTCGATGCTACTCAGGGTACCCAAAAGAGATAGACCATTATAAAAGGGGAGACATGTGCTTGCCATAAGAACATCATCCCCATGGAAGATGCTGTATAGTAGAGAGCAGGGCACCCACCAAACTACTACATTGGCGAACTGGTTACCGTGTCTACCTCAGGCTGCTGGTGCTTGGACTGGACCATCGAGTCTTGCGTAGCTACTACGACCACCACCACGTCCACGTCCCCTCCCCCTTCCACGTCCACGCCCTGCAAAAATCCGAGTGAACATAGACACAAGTGGAGGCAACAGATTAACACCCGAAGTGATTGCATACTCGTTGTCTGTGTAACTCCATTTCTAATGGGGTGAATTCCCTTTGCTAAGCCTTGCATAATCCCACATTGTGAATGAAAGCATCATAACATATATACAAAGCTTTGAAAATACTTAAACTGTCACGAGGTACTAAACTAGATTGTATCTAGAGATGAGCTGCATCGCCATATATAAAGAAACTAACTAGGGGGAGAAAAGAGTGGCCAACTTCTAGGGGGAACTCTTGAGCAAAACAATATTCAACCAGCCCAAGAAAATAAGTGAATCTGAGAACGCTATGATCCATGAATGATAAGCTTTGTTGGAGTTCAGTGTTTCTGCTCGTCAAAACTTACCACGAACTTGGGGTACATAGGTTTCAGGTTCACCATAGTTGTCATAGTACCCTCCTCCTTGCTGACCACCACCGTAGCCTCTCCCTCTTCCTCTACCACGCCCTCGCCCTCGGAAGAAACGACCACCTCTTGGGCGGCCTCGCCCTCTTCCTCCATAATCGTGCTCATCATCCCAACTATCACCGCCATTATAGTCACCTACACTGTTGTAATTGACTACAAACACAATAATCGAATGGAATCATCACACACTCGGCACTTCAGAAAATGCTACATGTTGAAAATCTTTGGTATTTGTTTCCTGTAATCTCATGCATGAGTGAAGTGGATTAAATCGAAGTCCATAAGTGAATACCTCGACCTCGGCCTCTTCCTCCCCCTCTACCACGCCCCCTACCTCGCATCATTGGTGATCCTTCTGAATTACAGGAGAAATATTAAGGCATAGGAACCCCACACATTTCCATACAAGTGCAAAAAGCTTCAAAAGAAGAAAAGGTGAATCCATGTCATTGTTACCTCCATCATCTGCGATTTCATTAATTGGTTTCACTTGTTCAATTGGGATAGGAGGTTGATACCTGCAAGTATGACAAAATCACAAGAACTCAGGAAGATTTTTCCAGAATCATTCAACTTCCACACTCCAAATGCAGATTCATCAGAGACCATTCAGAAAAAGCGAATCTTCAACAAGAAACGCAAACTAAAGTACCGAGTTCACCGACAGACATCATCAATCATCCCATCCACAGAATCCCCAGAGAAATCACTTGAATGAAGAAATTTTAAATTGTGGTTAGTTAGAGTTTTACCCTGGGGAGGATGTATCGAGCTCCTTCTTCGACAAAGTGATTGTGATCATCGAAACATGCCGGGTAGTTTCCAGACTATTAATCAATAACAACACACACGCTATTAACATACATTGCAAGATGATTTCCATTGACGAACAAGAATTAACAAAAACTTCCACATACGGAAGAAGGCCTTCTTCTAGTGGCTCCCACGTATCAGTTATATCAGTTGATCCAATACAAGTGTTCTGATGTAGACCAACAATCCTCCTCTAATTAAGAAACAAAACATCTCCATGAGCAAACAATGAAATCAAAGCGGGGAAAGTGAAGAAACAAAAGATTGGAGAGGGGGAGGGAAAATGATTCAAGTAAGGACCTTGATTAACTCAGCGATCATCACAGTCTTGTTGATAGCTCTGCCCATTGCTTTAAGCACAATCTCACTCGACCCTTTCTCCTGGAAACAACATAAAAGCTCAAACCTTTATCAAACCAACCAAGGAAAGCACGAAACCCCACATAATAATCAAATGAATGAAGAAAAGGGTAGGCGAAAAAAACCTGGAGAAGAGCGGTGGCGTAGCTGATGTAATTCCGCATGCGGCCTTGAGTAGTGATTCGAATCTCGTTCTCGTTTATTGGGGTCTCAGCCTTGGGCTTCTCCACCCTCTGGTACCTATCCATCTTTCCTCAAACCATAACTTTCAATCAGAACCCTGAAGTGGGGGAAATTGATCAGAACCCAGAAAGGAAAATGGAGCTTAGGGATTTTACCTGAGGGGGCGAGGGCGAGTTCCCGGGCAAATATTGGGGGGGGGAGGGGGTTTCCTCTGTTTTCTTCTTTCTTTCCGGTCTAGTAATTTACAGGTTGGTGATGAGGAAAGGGGAGAAGGGATTGAAGGGAGTTTTTGTATGCGATGAGGAAGTGGAGCGTAGGATAGAGAGAGCTGCGAAGAGTGGGGAGAGTCGGAGAGAGTGAGAGTCAGCGGGAAACGGTAACTGTGAGGAGCGAAGAAGGCGAGGGAAATTTGGGTGGTAAGGAGAATGGAGTGGCAACGGAACGGAACAACTGAGATAACTGATAGTCTAAATATGTCGCTAGTCGCCACACTCTTTGTACTTTGTAGTTGAGTGTCTTAGTTTTACAAATTGTTACAATTTCCCTATAAAGTTGTGTTTTTTAGAACTGTAAATTGCACATATTGGCCTAATAATTTGATTGTTGCATTTCCATCTTTGGCCATGGCCATCCATCCATTCTATCAGTTGGGGCATACTCTTACTCCACAGGAACTCACCATACTGTAAATGAGAATTATCTCACCTTACATGATTAAACCTAATTGAGTCCCTAATCTCCCTTCTTCTTTCTTCCCCATTCCACTTCCCCCAATTCCTAATTCCATTTCTTGACCTTCCCATTTCTAATCCCTAGAAGAGATCAATCTCTAATCGATCTCACCGTTTCTAATCCTAACAACAATTTGGAATACTGTGATCTGGATTTCTATCGGTCCACAAGAAAACAATCCTCTATTGCAGTTTCTACATCAGAGGTGGAATAATTAGCCTCTGGTCGTAGCTACATCGTCAAGTTCTTGGAATAATCAGTTCTATATTAACATACATTGCCATTCATTAAAAAAAATAATGGTTATTTTTTATCAAAACAATATTTCAGATTCTTTTATATTATTTAAACTTATCGAAATATTAAGAATTAGCCAAATGTTAATTTTCAATTAGCAATTTTGTTAGTAATATTGACTTGGCAACATGATACTGATTTGGAAGAGACATATGAAGGTCGACATTCCAAAATTTTAGTATTTTAACTAAGAAAAGACTACCGGCTGCCCCGGAGCACCCGCTCCCTTGCGCCTACGACGACTGCTGGGCCGCGCTCAATTGGGCCGCGGCCCACGCCGCGGGATCCTGCCGGGAGGAGTGGCTGAACTCGGGCGTCGATTTCGGGAGGGTTTTCGTGGCCGGGGACAGCGCCGGCGCCAATATCGCCCACCGCGTCGCCATGAGGAACGCCCGGGAGAAGCTGATTGAGCTGCTCGGGGTTGTGCTCGTGGATCCGTTCTTCTGGGGGGAGGATCCGATTGGGGATGAAGCGGGTCGGGCCCTGCCTGCCAGGCTGTGGCGGCTGGCGAATTCGGGTTCGGAGAAGAGCGGGTTGGATGACCCGGAGATTAACCCTGCCGCCGACCCGAAGCTGTCGGGTCTGGGTTGCCGGCGGGTGCTGGTTCTGGTGGCGGAGAAGGACTATATGAAGGACAGAGGGAAGCTTTACTGCAAGACGCCGGAGAAGAAGAACGGGTGGCCAGGCAAGGCGGAGATCTATGAGACCAAGGGCGCAAACCACGTCTTCCATCTGTTGGATCCGGCGTGCGGAAAAAAGCTGCGGAGAGGATGAAGCGCATCGTTTCCTTCTTGAATCGGGTAGGTAGCTGCTCCTTATAAAAAAGGTTCATCGTACCGGAGTTTATACCGAAAAAGTGAAATGTAGGGTATTTCGTACTAAAATCGTGATTTAACCATGATAGCATCTTACCATTTTGCGTCCGGTAACATAGCCTACTGGACCAATTGAGCTCTGGATGTGGGAGGTCCTGAGTTCGATTCCCAGTGGCGCCACTTGAGCGTTCCTGGTCCCCGATGTTGGTAGCAGAAAGCCCCGGTTAGTATGCAGGTACCCCCTGTGGTTTAGTAGGTCCCGCTGTCGCTCAAACGGCACGTGGGGTTGAAGTTCCCTGAGTTATCAAATAAAAAATATCCGATATTTTTTCGATCCAAAACCAGCCAGTACCCGAGTTTTTCGGTCCAACCAGCCGGTACGGTTTCCTAAACCTTTACTTATAAATATGCGACTTTCATTCCCAAAATTACGAATCCTCGCGAACAGCAGTGGGTAAGAAATTGAGATACCTCAACGTCTTTAGGAAACAGTAAGACGTGAGATCGTAAGAATGACTAGACTTCAGAATCTTTATCGCGTTGCTATGTAAAACCCCCATAGCTCTCCCGCCAAAAAAAACCTTTAAAATCCTATCCACGACTACGAGAGCCCCAAATTTTGACATTCAAGCTAGGCAAGGTAAGCAGAACATGACTTGCACAACAGTCTTCGCCGGTACCAATACCATGGCACTGAATGGAAGAGATAACTTGATTCGCTTTCTACAGTACAAAACTACTATATATCACTAGTATTGTATTAGGGTACAAACTCAGCATCAGTCTCCATAGTACATCCGAGGCCGATAAGCAAGCAATTCTCCCCTGGGGTTTGCAATGCTTCAGCATCGAAGATAGAGAGCACTTCATTCTCCTAGTGGCTGTTGGGGAACTTGGCTTCATATTCATGGGGCGGCTGCAGATTCGCATCGAGCAAAAATACAAACGAATAGGACTAAGGCATCTCAACCCTGAATATGTAAATGAGGATAAACAACTATGGATTACCATGAAAGTTGCCGAGATTGATCGTCGAGCAAACCACCTCATATGCATTGCAGCCTGAGCTCTGGCGGCTGCTTCCACGGTATCGAACCGTAAATACACAAACCCTGCACTATTCCTGTAAAAAAAAGGCAGATAATAAAATAAATGAGACTAACAAGTTTTCACACAAGCTGACACTGAGGAGAAAGTTGAGACAGAGAATCATATAGCAGGGCACTTCTTTCCTTCTGTAGCAAATATTTTAGGGACTTGATCGAAACTTAATGCCAATCCACTACCATAGATGTCAATACCCTCGATAAACCATAATTAAGCTCGGAATCCATAGTATTTTCCTTCTTAATGGGTTAATTAGACACTGCCATCTTTAAGCACCCAAACCAATTAGTCAATAAAGAAATATCTCATTCAATCTCGTGTAACCCAACATGGTAGTTTCTAAGATAATCATCTCATACCTTTTAAAATTGCAGTTTTCAACATAAAGCATTCATTGAACATTGAAAGTGAGGCACCTAAAAAATTTGCTTTGCTTACTTCTCAACATATATATGTTTCACGAGACCATATTTTGAACATTCTTCTTCAACATCGTCCTTTATGTCCACATCAAAATCTGGTTCAGTCTGTGAAGAGATATTAACAGATATATTAGGGTTCACCCAGCTATAAGTTTTGAATAAAATTGAAGGAGAAGAGAAGAAAAGAATCCACATACCTCGGTGGAAGGATCAAACATGTTTTTCAACAGTAAGCACTCACTGGGGTTTCCAATAGATTCATAGGCTGGAGAAGGTAGGACATGCACTGGAAGAGCTCCTCCAAGTGCTGGATGACCGTTCACTTGCAAGGCCATGGTTTGTGAATTTTGAGCAGAGCCATTAAGCATAGTCACCCCAAGGGAGCCAGAGATACTGGAGAAAGAAAGATAATATTTTAGTGCTTAAATAATACTCACAAAAAGAGAGTAAGCCATATATGTTAAGGATGGTAAAGAGACCTTGTGGCAATGCCAGAGCGATCCAGCTTCTGCATGAGCATTGCTCTCGATTGAGCATTTAAGGACTGCAAGATAAAACTAATACGAATTAGTCGCAAGACACTTGTTGAAGTTCCACACCCAGATGATAGAAGTAACTATTAATACCAATCAGAAAATATGTGAAATTCTCAGCCATAGAAAACATATGGACAGTCAACGCATGACTTATACAACAGGGAAAAGGTAAAGAGAGGACTCAGCTTTGCAATAACTGAGGTTACAGGTGAAACTTTAACCATAACTAATTCAGTCAGGTGTAAAGTATAACAAGGACCACGTCTGACTAGGCTACAGAAAACACAAAGTACATACTATGCTTTGTTTGTGTTTTGCTATGATATAGTATGCTTTGTGTCTGTGAATTGAGAAGATAATACATGTATATTTATTTCAAGGGTAAAGCAAAATAAACTGACCAAACCACCACCATCATCGTCATCAAAGTCAGCAGACTTAGCCCCAGGATCTTGCTGCCCTCCATGTTCTGTGACAGAGGAAACCTGGCATATACAACAGTAAGAGGGGAACTTGTTAAAGGCTTATAAACAAAATCTTCCTATAAATTGGTCGAATTCATAAATTATCTGCAAAGTGGTGTATATCCTAAGGTTTAAGCCAACCTTCAAGGTCCGACCAGCAATCTCCAACTTCCCATTTAAATGTGTCTGTGCTTCCTTTGCACTTTCAACTTGAGCAAACTGCAGGATAAAAACCATTACGATAATGCCAACTGGGATGAACCAACCATCGAACAAATTAGAGGCTTTCACTCACTTGAACAAACCCAAATCCTTTGCACTGTCCTGTTTCAAGGTCAAGGGGCAGCTGAACAAGCTCCACAGTTCCGAATGGCTCAAAAAGCTGACAAATTACCATCCAAGAAAGATGAGGTGTTACCAGATGATGAAAGGTAGCAGCTCTTACTAAATACGAGGCATAATTAGCAATAACGAAATCAAACTATATATATTCAACCATTACCTGTCTCAGCTGCATTTCTGTCATGTTGAAGTGCAAATTGCCGACATATAGTTTCCTGTCCACAGGTCCATAGGGGCCAGTAGCTGCACCTGTAGCATTTGACTGAACAAGATTCTTTTCAGCCTCGGAAGGTTTCACCATCACAGGTTGTCCAAAAAGTGGCTGGCCAGAAAGAGCTATTGCCATTGGAACAGACATCACGTCATAAAACTCGATATACCTGCAGGTATCACATATAGTCACTAAATTGTTAGAACAAAATCAAATAAACAAATCTGAAGTAGAACTTACAGAGCATCTAGTAAAGAGATGAATAGAAACTAAAACCGAGTGCAGAAAGCTCATTGCTGATTTTCTTTCTGCAAATCTGATTTCCAGATAATAGAATTTGTTAGCCAATACAGGAAAAAGTAACGTAATTACTAACCAAAATAAAGCAAAATAAAAAGTTGTAACCTGACATAAACAAGAAAGATAAGTGATGTAAAAATAAAGGCCTTTTCCAGTTTAACAAGTGCACAGAGGAAATTGCTGAGAAAAGAGTGAAGGAGCTCCAGTGCAAGCTATCCTCGCAGACCAGAAATAAGTGTTGAAGTACCATTCACATCATAAGAGGCATGATTTAAAAAGAAAAGGTGGAAAAAGAGGTTTCAGAGGTGTTCTTGTCCCACTTCTATTACAATTTCTCTTAGCAGATGAGAAACCAAGAGAAACCAAAAACTTAGCAGGGAGACAAAAACAGAGAGTAGAGAGCTCGTATGAAATTGTTTCTAGGAGGACCAAGAATCTATGACAGCAAATTTATTGTCTTCACCTGGAAACACTCATCAAGGAATAAAAAAAAGAAACAACAAACTTAAGTGTATGTCATCTACCTTGAGTGCGCAGCATGAATTGATTAAACATGAGTGCAAGGTATTCCCATCATCCATCATCATTATCGCATTGCTAGTGCATTTAAGAATACAGTTAAACTTGATTCTTGTAAGCAATATGCTGATAGTTTATTAGAGCATAATAGGACTTATGAATTTAGAATTTACATACCCAACTCCTTTTGATCTCCTTGAGTTCCTGTCCATTATCAATCTAACATCCCTGACCTGAAAATTTAAGGATATAAACGGTTGGTGATGATGAAGATACAATGAGCACCATAATGGCAAAACACTTCAAAGGCATCCAAGATATTGCTGCAACCAATTTCTGGATGGTCCATAAATTTAACAAAAAGGTAACTCAATTGCAAGGATCTTAAACTCAACTACACATCTAGGATCATGATATACAATAAAGTCCTCAACAGATGATAAAGAACCGAAGTGGCGGAGTTAAAAACCACTATGACATAACAACACAGCTGACAGTGACCAAAGAAGGTTTTCCAAATGGCAACTGCCAATACTTGCACCCAAGCAGCAATTGAATAAACAGCTCAATGCATAAGAAAGAAGATACGACACAAAAACAACCACAAACTCACAGCCTATGAGATATTGGCAGAAGCCAGTATGATCAGCAAATTAACGGAAAAAATTTCACTAACCTTGCCTGCCTTGGAGAAGAACTCATACACATCTCTCTCCATAGCCTTCAAAGGCATCTTCAAGATATTCCAAAACAAAATAAGTTCTAGTATTTTGGACGAGAATGTCATTCTGCAATGTGATTCTACAGAAGGAAGTCTGATCATATATCCCTACCTGATAGGCAAATACAGTTCTCTGATCCCTCTCAGGGTCAGCTTCAGGCTCCACAACTTCTTTCTTATCTTTAACCCTCCTGTCACCAAAAAAAAAAAAAAACAGCTCCAAGGAATAATAAGAATACAGCCACAGTAGCAAACGACCATAAGCAGCATTAGTTGAGCCTGCATAGGCACAATAAAATAGCCATAGCCAGCCGATAACCATTCCCGACACAGCTGCAGAATGTGAAACATCTATTTGGGTCTACACTTTCTTAAATGGAGACCCAAGTTTAAGCAGTCAAGTCAGGTAACCTCATAGTTCCCAAAGTACGTGTAAGCCTATGGTGACAGAGAGAAACCTACAAGTTGTACAATCAACCATTACAATCTTCGACAAGTTCAGAACTTTTCACATAAGAAGTAAAATATCCAAATTGAAAGCCACCATGGCGGCAATTCAAGACCTCACAGCAGGATTCCAAACCACAAACCAATAATAACGAACAGAGAAAATCAAATAAAGATGGGCAGGCACCTGCTACCGCTGTCTCGCAGCTCAACTTCCCTTTCTCTCTCCCGCACTTCCTTCTCCCGATCACTGTACCGACTCCTGCTTCTTTCCCTCCTTGAATTGCTCCTGCTTCGGCTTCTTTCCCTCCTGCTCTTGCTCTCGCTTCTACTCCTCTCCCTCTTGTCCCTTCCTTCCTCTCGCCCCTTATCCCTCCTTTCCCTCCTCTCCTTCTCCTTATCTCTATCCTTCTCTCTATCTCTGTCCCTGTCGCTGCGGTGTCGATCCTTCTCCCTCCCGTTCTTCTCATCGTCGCCGCCTCTCGATCTCTTCCGGCTCGCCGTCGCGTCCTCGTCGGCGGTATCCCGCTTTCTGTAACTCCGCTCGGTCTTCTCCGCGCCTTCGCGCTTGCTCTTCTTGGCGCTCCCGTCTCCACCCTCCGCTTCTTCGACGGTCTTCTCCAGATACTCGATCTCGTCAAAATCCATGGTTGTTTGTTTCTCTGAGGGAGCAAATTGCTTTCTCGGAGTGAATCTTCGGTGAACCGATAAGTAAAAAGGGTCGGGTTAATTGGGGAAATAGGAGATTTTTTGTTTTATAATTTTAGGGTTTTGGCGAGGGTTTGTACTTTGTAGTTTTGGATAAATTACAAAGCTGATCACCATAATTATATGTTCTTCCGTTATTTATCACTATAAAAAAAATAACACGCCTGCCACTGTACTCATGAATAGAAGTGAACAAAGTGACACAAAACTCAATCCACTCGTCCTATCCGCATAGTTAGTAAATACTCCGTTTAATACACGTATATGTATCGCACGTATTTTATCCATTTAAAACTTCCGTATCCATATTATTGACAAGCCGTTTCAGTTTTATCCGTTCATTTGATGGCTCCCGTACTAAACACGCATAAAACCCGTATAACACGTTTAATATCCGTATTTAATGAATTAAATTGTGAACTTTACCATTATTTATATATTTATTTAATTTTAAAATAATTATTTTAATATATTTATGACTATTAACGTACTATTAAACGTAACATTAGCTTAGAGACGATGTAAAATACCCGTACGTATTTTTTACATAACTTTCTCGTACCGTATTTTACTAATTATGTCTATCCGACCTAAACCAACTCGAAATCATAGCAAAACTTAGGGATGGGCAATGGGTGGGTTTTTGGGCAAAATCCACCCACCCATTGTTATGGTGGGTGATGAAAAAATGACTCACACCCACCCATTTGTATCGTTGTGGGTTAAAAAAAAATGTATCGTTGTGGGTGGGTTGGGTGGATGACAGCGGATGGTGGGTGGGTTTGACGGTTTTGGTGAGTCAAATTATTTTTAGATAATTAGACAATTATGAGCCATAAATGTTTGCATTAAACTAATTAAATATCAATACTACAAATCAAGAAAATTGATAGTTATTAAACGTAGTTTATTGCATAACCTAACACCAATTATCTAATTTGTGAACACAATATATTTTATTGATAGTTATTATATTTTAAAATGATCTATTTTATGTTGTAAATGAAGTAAAATTTATAAAATATCATTTTAATTTAATTGAATATATCACGATTGAAGTTTTAGTATAAGAAAAAATAGTTTTTTATTATAGAATGTGCATTAACGACTTAAAATATCAAGTGATTTTGTAGGTAATGATCCACCCGCTACCCACCCACTACCCACCCACCCAAATTTAGTGGGTGAAAAAAATAATGAATCACACCCACCCACCACATCCACCCAAACATGTAATGAGTGGTTTATAATCGGATGGGTTCGGATGGATCTAGCGGTTGATCCATCCATTGCCCATCCCTAACAAAACTAAGTCAAATGGGTGGATTAGGGCGTTGGATGAAGACCCAAATATTATTTTTCTTCTTCTTCTTGCAAGTAGTGTTGTTTATTGGGCTTCAAGGAAGCAACATGTAGTTACGCGCGCTTTCAATCATAGAAGCATAATTTGTCGGAGCCTCTTACTGTGCAGCTCAATGTATCTTAGAAGGATGGAAGGCCAGTGTTGAGAAGGCTCCTAAGATCATTTGTGATAATAGTTCTGTTATCAAACTCTCTAAAAATCACGTGCTTCATATCAAGAGCAATGCACATACCAAAATGTAAATTTTCAATGATTTTTTTCGTATAAAAATATAAATTTTAGGTATCAAAATGTAAAATATACAATATATAGGTATCAAATCGTAATTTGTCATTTGAATCCATGGATTGATCCATGAATCCACCAATCCAATTGGATTTGGATCAAATGGATTGGATTTAAATGGATTGAATTAAGTGGATAATTTGGTGGATGGATTGGATTGGATTCATGGATTTGGATCCTAATTGCCACCTCTAGTTGAGGAGTCTGGGAATGGTGGACCTATAATAGAGATTGAAGCAGCTTGAAGTGGTGTGAACTGGCTTCAGTTATGGGAGGAAAAGTTGTTTTTGAACCCGCATCGATTGAAGAAGAATAAACTTGAAGGAGTTGGTGCCAAGCGAAGATGTTTCTAAATTGAGTTTGTCAAAGTTGAATCGTTTCTGAATCGCTATTCGTCGCCCTAAAAATTAAATTTTTATCGTCCTAAACCGTACCAAATGACACATACACCTCCTCTCCCAAATTGATAGCTAAACCCTAGAAACAAACAATCTCTCTCCAAGCCTACCCAAAACTCTCCCGCCGGCATACCCACATCCCTCCCGCCGGCTACCCACAATCTCTCCCTCCGCCGCCTAACCCACCTCCTTTGACATTCATTTTTAGTCTATGGCCTTAGATGCCAAATGCAATACTCAGATGGTGATTCCCCGGCTCTCTGAAAACTATGGTACTTCACAAGATCCGCCTGAGAAACAAGCACCAATTTGGAGAGTGCATTCGAAGCCCAGAACCCTCCAGGCATTGGACGGAGGACGAAGAAGGAAGAAGGAGGTCGGAGCTGCAACCGTTGCCGCCGTCGATTCGCTCCACGTGTTCGCTGTCAACTAGGAGGAAGAGGGGAGGTCGGAGTCGTTGCTGTTCCCACCAACCCTTGCGGAGAAGAAGGAAAGGAGATGACGACCACCATCGACCCGACGTGCCCAGGAATTTTTCTTTTCTTGGCCGGACGGGTTTTCAACCCGTCGCCGGCGAGCTTAGACTTAGAATTTATATTAAATTAATTATTAAATGAGTTTATTTTGGGATTTAACTTTTAATTGTTTAAAAAATAAATAAATGAACTAAGGGTGTTAAAGTAAATTTATTTTAGTTAGGGCGACGAATAAGAAATTTTAGGGCGACGAATAGCAATGCCCAATCGTTTTGGTTTATTTCAGTTTAGTCCCTAAAGTTAGTATACTTCTTTGTTTGTACATTTATCATACATTGTTGGAAATGAATAATTTTGAAGGTATAGTGAAGTCTTAATCAAATACCACATTGGTGAGTTAGACCTTGCAAAAGGTCGATAAGAATAGCTTCCTCTCTCAAGGGTAATATCCCTTGGGGTGACCAACTTTTTGGGGGGGAGCAAGTACCTAAGGGACCTAGATGCCACACGTTCGAGTGTCGCTCCACCGACCGCTCCAATGAGCTAGCAAGGGGGTGGGTTGGGTTGGTCGTTTTGAGACTATGATTTTTTTTTTTTTTGTAGAAATTCCAAACTAATTATCTTATTTTTCTCTTATACGAGAATAAAAATTAATAATGAATGCTAATTATTAAAAGGAATGTTCGGGGATTCTCTGCTCCTATAACTAGCGGACTCCCTAGACTCTCTATTCACACATTCAGAGGGCAGAAACACGAAAGAGTGAGATTCAGAGAGTTATGGTTTCGCACGAGCCGAGAGTAACCAAGAGTAGTGTTTTATCCTCAATCCAAGAGTAACCATGAATGGTTGTTTTATCCTGGATGCAAACGGCTAATAGTATGTTGTGTGCAAAAGAGACGATGCACCGAACATTTTAAAGAGATCGACCTAGTCCGCCACTCAACCAGCTTCGGTAACCCTAGTTTCTCGTTCTTCTGTTTCTAACACACATTTTTACATGCACTAAATTTTAATATATATTTTATTCGTCTTCTTTGGATTCTTTTGTTAACCACAAATTAATAATGAATGCTAATAATTAAAAGGAATATTCGGAGGATTCTCTGCTCCTATAACTAGTGGACTCCCTAGACTCTCTATTCACACATTCAGAGAGCAGAAACACGAAAGAGTGAGATTCAGAGAGTTATGGTTTCACACGAGCTGAGAGTAACCAAGAGCAGTTGTTTTATCCTCAATCCAAGAGTAACCATGAATGGTTGTTTTATCCTGGATGCAAATGGCTAATAGTCTGTTGTGTGCAAAAGAGACGATGCAATGAACATTTTAAAGAGATCGACATGGTCCGCCACTCAACTAGCTTCAGTAACCCTAGTTTCTCGTTCTTCGGTTTCTAACATACATTTTTACATGCACTAAATCTTAATATAGATTTTATTCGTCTTTCTTTGGTTTCATTTGTTAACAAACAAACCATTTAGTCCCAATAACTCGAGTCGTTAGAAAATGTTTAATATAGATTTTATATGTTATTCGTTTTACACGTCCTCTCAAACGGAAGTGTTCTTGTAGATTTGAAATTTGCACAAGTTAAACATAGCATGCCTTGTACTAAACCAATTCTTAATATTGAAGATAATGAGAATTCGAACATTGCATGAAACCTCTTTTGATCGAAAGGATCAAATACCGTATTAATGAACAAACCATTTTAGTACCCATTATTCATCATTAACACCTCTTGATCACGAAACAAATAAAAACAACAACTCAGTTTTATTCCTCATTACTTCTATGGTACGTACATATATGCTTCTTAGGCATAAAAGTATCACCCATATGCATCGAAATCGGTATTCGCTAAACCGTACCGTATCGACAATTTTAATCAGAAAAACCTCATATGCAGATACTCAAGATGGTATAGTATTTCACCAATGTGAAACCGATGAAAACACAGGTTTAAACGCATAAAATACCTTTATCACCGACTTATTTAATACTTACCTCCTCACACCTTATTATAGTTTATTAGTACATTACAATAGACTTGATAACCGTAACTTGTTCATACTCCAGTCTCCCCAAACGACACCGTACGTATATATGTGTGGTTTCACGACACTCGCAGATCAATTCACTCTCCTGATCTGTCTGCATAGATTCACACAGCAAATTACTATAGTATATAAACAAAACAAAAGGAAACAGTACTATAACAATGGTGTTTTCTACAGAAGACGGATACATACAAGGAACCAACACGTACCTAGCTTGCATGGAAAACAACAACGACGACGACGTACGCTGCATGCATGTTACAGACAACAGTCGGTGCACCACAGCCAGAGAATATCTAACCCACAGCAGTTTATCTGCTCTCCGCAGTCGCCTTCAAGCCGCCTCCGGCTGGTCCCTTCCTCTGCGCATATCAAATTTAAAACGACTCGTGGAATTAGATTTTCATATATAGATTTTAACGAATTCTACACCGTCCTCTTTTAATAAAAAAGCCGACTCGTAACTTGAAATTTG